CAGCTCAGAAGCTGGGGCCTGCTTCGGATTTTGTGTCTCCCTCTCTCTCTCTCTGCCCTTCTCCTGCTTGTGCTTTCTCTCCCCCCGCAGAAATAAACTTAAGGCCCACCTGGGTGGCTCAGTTGGTTAAGCATCCAACTCTTGGTTTCAGCTCAGGTCATGATCTCACGGTTCTGTGAGTTCAAGCCCCACATGAGGCTCTGCACTGACAGTGTAGAACCGCCTTGGGATTCCCTCTCTCCCTTTTTCTTTCTCTCAAAATAAATAAGTAAACTTAAAAAAATAGGTTTAAAAAAAAAGATATTATTCCAATTAAATTTTTCTGTTATCAAATTTTAGTCCCCATTTTAAGGAAGGCTTGAAAGGTTTTTTTGTTGTTTTTTTAACTTTTTATTACGGAAAATTTCAAACATATGCTAAAGTAGGCAGTAGTATAATGAACCTTCATGTACCCATTACACAGCTTCAACAATTAACAACTCATGGCCAGTTTCATATGTTATACTCTTACCTACTTATTCTTGTCCTGTATTCTTTTGAAGCATAGCCCAAGTCATGATGTTTCACCTGTAATTATTCAGAAATTGAAAAAGAGGTTTTTTTCCAGTCACGACCATAATACCGTCATCACAAGTTAAAATTTTTTTGCAAATAATTCTATAAGTCAAATATCCAGTCAGCATTCACATTTCCAGTTGTTTCAAAGAACCCAAAAAACAAATTTCCAGTTGCTTTAAAAAAATTTTTTTATTACGTTTCTTTATTTTCGAGGGGCAGAGAGAGACAGCATGAGTGGGAGAGGGGCAGAGAGAGAGGGAGACACAGAATCCGAAACAGGCTCCAGGCTCTGAGCTGTCAGCCCAGAGCCCGACGCGGGGCTCAAACCCACGAACTGTGAGATCGTGACCTGAGCTGAAGTTGAACACTCAACCGACTGAGCCACCCAGGCACCCCAATTTCCAGTTGCTTTTAAACATCATAAGTATGTGTCTGTTTTTGTTTGTATCAATACCCAAATGAAGTCCCGCAATTAGCTGGTATGTTCTTACAAGTCTTTCCAAATCTTTATGTACCTCCAACACTTTTTTTCCCTTGTGTTTATTTGTTCAATAAGCCAGGCAGTTTATCCTGTAAAGTTTCCTGTATTCTGAATATTGCTAATTCCTTTCCTGTGGTTGTGGTTTAAGATATTCTTCTGTCCTCACCCCCTGTAACTTGCTGGTTGGATCTGGAGGCTTGATAGATTTTTGGTGGTGTAGGGTGGTGTCAGGAAAGGCCAGACCACTTAAGAGGTGGTGGTCTATTCTGTTGTCGTAACTCTCTTCCTATCTGGCTGTGTCTCTTACCATGTAGTTTTTTCCCAGTACCGATTATTTTTTGGTAACAAGATTGTACATGGAATATGCATTATTTTGAGTGCTTCTTCATTTTCTACTTACAAAGCTAACAATTTCATTTGAGTAAAGTACGTTATTTTATGTGAATGAGAGAATTGATGTTAATGTAATATATTTACGTGTAGGAGTATGTGCATATATGTATGTATATATGTTACGTTATATATATTTTAAAATTTAGGGACGCCTAGGTGGCTCAGTCGGTTAAGTGCCTGACTTTAGCTCAAGTCCTGATCTCAAGGTTCTTGGGTTTAAGCCTCATGTCGGGCTCTGTGCTGACAGCTCAGAGCCTGGAGCGTGCTTCAGATTCTGTGTCTCCCTCTCTCTCTCTGCCCCTTGCTCGCTCGCTCTCTTTCAAAAATAAAACATTAAAAAAATTAAAAATTTATATTGAAATTACTTTCTACTAAATAATTTTACAATTTTATTCAAGTGTGGCATCATACAGAAAAATATGTAACTCATAAGTATGCAGCTGTGTAAATTATCACAAAGCGAATATACCCATGTATCTACCACACAGGTGGCAGAGTAGAACATTACAATCATCCAGAAGCCTCCCAAAACCTTTTTAATTCTTGCCATTTCTGTCCTTCCCAAAAGTAACCATGATCCCGCTTTTTATCACAATACTTTCATTTTGCCTGTTTTTGAATTTTATATAAATGGAATCATAAAGTATGTGTTCTTTTGTGTCTGCCTTCTCTCAGTTAATTTTTTTTTTTTAATTCATTTGGGTTGTTGGATCTGGCTACAGTTGGTTTATTTTCATTGCCATATAGTTCTCCATTTTACGAATAGATTATACTATGAATCCATACTAATGATGGGCTTGTGGGTTGTTTTCAGCTTGTAGCTTTTTTGGATAATGCTATTAAAAACATTCTTGTACATGTCTTTTGGTGTGCGTATGTATTCATTCTCTTAGAATATGTCTGAGAGTGAAATTGTTGGGCCACAGGGTATGTTCACCTGTAACTGATATTGACAAACACTTGTCCAGAGTGGTTGTACTCATTTGTATTCTTACTGGCACTGTTTGCAACTTCCTATTAGTCTATATTTTCACTGTTACTTGCCTAAATTATTAGTCTTATTTTTACTAACTTTAGATTTCTGGTGAATGTGTTATGATCTGCATTTTTCTGATTACTAATAAAGAAGATCACCGTTTAATGCATTTATCAGTCATTTGGATATGTTCTTTTAAAGTGTCTTTTCGGGGGCGCCTGGGTGGCGCAGTCGGTTAAGCGTCCGACTTCAGCCAGGTCACGATCTCGCGGTCCGTGAGTTCGAGCCCCGTGTCGGGCTCTGGGCTGATGGCTCGGAGCCTGGAGCCTGTTTCCGATTCTGTGTCTCCCTCTCTCTCTGCCCCTCCCCCATTCATGCTCTGTCTCTCTCTGTCCCAAAAATAAATAAACGTTGAAAAAAAAAATTTTTTTTTTAAAATAAAGTGTCTTTTCAGGTCTTTTGCCTGTTTTTAAAAAATTCGGTGGTCTGTCATTTAAAAAAATTGATTATTAGAACTTTTAAAAAATATGTTCTAGATACAGGCCCATTTTCAGCTATGTATATGCTTCAGATATCCTCTCCCACCTTATGACTTGCCTTTTTACTTTCTTGGCGATGTCTTTTCGCGTACGTGAGTTTTAATTTTCATGTAGTTTTCAGTCATTTCCTTTACAATTAGACATTTTTGTGCCTGGTTTAAGAAATATTTACTTACCCTAATGTCTTAAAGACATGCTCTGGGTAATTGTCTTCAAGTTTCATTCACATTTAGATTTATAGGCCATGTGGTATTTTCCTTGAAAGTGGTGTGAGCTAGGGGGTGCAGATACATTTTTTTTTCCATGTGGGTGTCCACTTGACCCAGACCACTTATTGAAAATGTCTTTCTTCTGTGTTCCTTGTGTTTATAAATTAAGTGTCCATATATGTGCTTAGGATTTTTGCATTTATGCTCCAAGTAAGATTAGTGTGTAATATTCCTTTCTTCCCAAGTTATGTTTTATAAGTAACTTTAGTTGTTAGGGGAAACTCCTTATGTGCTTTTTCTCCCCCCATCAGAATCAACTTTAAAGGTTTTATCATACCTGGATAGCTCATGCTAATGTTCTTACTGAAATAAGCCAATGACTTCTTAACCGTGTCCATTCTTCTTGTTTCTCCAACCTCTAAGCGGGCTAGTCACTCGACAGCTCAGGAGTCTGAGACCAGAGCAGAGACAGGTTGGTGAGACAGTTGGTGAGAAGCTGAGGCTTTCTGACTTCCGGTCCACAGTTCTTTCCTCAGTGCTGTGCTCGTGTTGTTCTTCTCCATGATGCTTCTCTGCCGGGTAGTACGGAATGGGAAGGACTCTGTAGGTATAAGGTGTGATGAGCTTTGCTTCAGGCATGCACAGAGTGTCTTCTATCCTTTTAGCATATGATGACCTCACTATTTTGTAGGCACTATTTTGAATCTTCAAAATACTGGACCCATTTATATGAAAGAATCTAAAACTTTCATAAGGTAAAATATGAATGACTGTTTGGTTTACTTCTTTCTTCAAATAATGTTCCACTGTTGCCCTCTTTCCACCAGCATTTATTCTCAAAAGTTAACTTTATATCGAATATTAAATTTCTTTGAGAATTATATTTTTTAATCATAGTGGTCATGAAAGTTTAATTTTCAGAAAGAATATTTCTGTTTCTCAAATGCTGCTCTCTTTGTGATTTCCAAATTTCCTGTTGGATACAACTCTTTAGGGTAAATTTCTGGTTTTGCCCACCCTTATTTATGTCAAAGACCTTCTTCTTTATTAAAATAGCTAAACGTAAGTAGAATTTATAAAGCCATTGAATCAAATAGTTTTAAAATAATAATTAAAATTTTTTTCTTCCTTTGTCAGCTATTTTTAAAAAGATAAGGCCTGGTGGTGTGGTAGTGGCATTAACACTAGGCATGTGATCAGTGTAAGAGTCTAGAAGTAAACCCTTACATTTATGGCCCGTTGATTTTTGTCAAAAGTACTGACACCACTCAATGGGAAAAGAATAGTCTTTTCCACAAATGATGCTGTAAAAACCGAATTTCCATGGGCAGTAGAAAAAAGTTGGGCTTCTTCACACCAAACCCCCAAATTAACTCTAAATGGATCATAAAACTAAATGTAAGAGCTAAAACGATAAAACTTAGAAAATGCTAGGCAGTGGTTTCTTACATATGCATAAGCGTAAGCATAAGCAGCCAAATTAAAAATAGATATATTGGGGTGCCCGAGTGGCTCAGTCGGTTAAGCATCTGACTCTTGATTTCAGCCCAGGTCGTGATCTCACAGTTTGTGAGATCGAGCCCCGTGTCAGGCTGTGTGCCGACAGCGCAGAACCTGCTTGAGATTGTCTCTTTCTCTCTGCCTCTCCCCCACTCATGATCACTCTCTCAAAATAAATAAATAGGTATATTGTACTTCATCAAAATACAACCCAACACTTGGGCTTCAGGGGATACCATCAAGAAATCTGAAGAAAACCCACATAATGGGGAAAATATTTACAAATTATACATCTCATAAAAGACTTATGTCCTGAGTATATAAATAATCTATAAAAAACTTCTACAATTCAACAGTGAAAGGACAGATAAGCAATTTTAAAAACAGGCAAAGGATTTGAATAGAAAAAATACAAATGGCCAATAAACCCATAATAAAGATGTTCAGCACCATTAGCCATCTTGAGAAATACAGATCAAAACTACAGTGAAATTTGTTATTTTGACTCTAAACTTAAATGTGGACTTCGGTTAGAGTTGCTTTTCCAGTTCTATACTGAAGGTTTACTGGTTGGTCTCTGTCTTTCTCCTGAGTCAGAACCTTCCTAGAACCTTACTGGCCTTTTGGACAATCCGGCTTCTTTGTACTTTCTTTCCACTGAATTTTATAATTTTTTTTTTCTTCCTGAATTACTTAAAAGATTCTCGTCTCTTCTTTCTGCCCTTATTCCTTTGCCATCGGATTATATGTGCAGTGATCTTCCACTATGAATGAGCTAAATAGTTATATGGAGCTTTGTATTATTTGAGACTTAATGATAGGGATGAGGGCAATCTGGCGAGGGCCACATAGAAAGAAAATTATAGTATGTTTAGTTTTTTTCTTTTAAAGATCATAAGGTGTGGGGTGCCTGGGCAGCTTAGTTGGTTGAGCGTCTGACTCTTGGTTTTGGCTCAGGTCACGATCTCAGGGTTGTGGGATTGAGCCGCGTGTCGGGGTCCTGAGGCTGAGTGTGGAGCCTGCATAAGATTCGCTCTCTCTCTCTCTCTCTCTCTCTGATCTTCTCTCCTCTCCTCTCTCCTCTCTCCTCTGTCCTCTCTCCTCTCTCCTCTCTCCTCTCTCTCCTGTCTCTCTGTCTCTCCCCCTCTGCCCCTCCCCCTCCTACCCCACTCATACACATGCAGGATCTCTCTCACTCTTTCAAATAAAATAAAAATACTAAAAAAAAATAAAGATAGGAAGGTGTGAACTTCTTATAAAATTTTAAACAGGGAACTAAAATCCTTTCAGTGAATACTAAGCAAATGTCAATGTTTCACGTGGAAGTTGGTCAAGTGAGAAGCATTAGAAGGAAAGGGGGACTGGGGGTGCCTGGCTGGCTCAGTCAGAAGAGCATGTGACTTCTTGATATTGGGGTGGTGAGTTTGAGCCCCATGTTGGGTATAGAGATTACTTACATGAATAAATAAAAACTAAAAAAAAAAAAAAAAAAAAAAGGGAGACTGAGAAGAGAGAGCAGGATAGTTATAGGAAGCTAAGTGAGGGTTGGCAGCAGGATAAAGGGTGTGAGATAAGCTCAGTGTGCATCTCTCGTAGCCCAACCCAGTTTCAAAGACCTTTGGGTGATATCTTCCACCTTAACTAAACCTCCCTCCCTCCTTCCCTGTTACCATTATATTTCCCTAGAATTTCAGCTTATTTCCCCCGCTCCTTTTTTGAATTAAAGCTGCCTGTAGACATTTCTTGCTGTATGTTTTGTCTGCCGACCTTAATTCCTTACCAATTCTCTTCTCAGCTTTCTATCGTCAGTTTCTTACTCCCACTTTGCTACTCTAGCTGTATGTTAATTTCATACTTCTTAACATCTTTGTTCTGCCTTTTTCCCCAAAGAGCTCTCCTGGATCCTCTCCTTTCTGTTCCTGTCCGTCTGGTCTTCATTCCGAGGTCCCACCTTCCGGTTCCAGGGTTTCTTCCCGCATTTCGTCTTGCCCACCTCTTTTCTCTGGGCAACCTGTCTGCTGTCTGCTCAGTACTCTGGAAGAGCTGTAAATGAGCAACCTGTGTCTTTAAACTGAAGTCCTTCTAGATGTGTGAATTTTTAATGTGTGTTTATTTTTTGAGAGAGAGTGCATGTGTGCATGGGAAGGGCAGAGAGAGGAGGACAGAGGAACCAAAGCAGGCTCTGTGCTGACTGCAGAGAGCCTGATGTGGGGCTCGAACTCCCGAACTGTGAGATCATGACCTGAGCCAAAGTTGGAGGCTTAACCCACAGAGCCACCCTGGCACCCCAGATGTGTGAATATTTTTATTTGTTGAATTTAATGGGGGTAGGAGGTGAGGTTAAGGTTTAGAAATCTCATTATGATGAGTTCCTAGAAGGTTTTCAGCTAAAAAAAAATATTTTTAAGACCAAAAGTATCCTCAATTTACAAGTAAATGACAGAATGTGGACCAACGCTTAACTAAGGTTGTAGAAATGACACTGACAAAAACACAGGTGAGTCAGAGAACAACATCTAGCAAGTAAAAAAAAATCATGACAACGGCCCTCTTCCTTCCCCAAATCTCTAAGTCATAACTTTAAGAATAAACCATAACATGATATAGTGGAAAGTAAAGGCAAAGTGAACTAAAAAATAGTGCTGTCAACGTGATTGCCTTTGGATCTGAAGAAAAATTATATATAAATACAAACCATCAGAAAGCATATGGTTTAAAAACTTGGATGGTGGGATTGTGTTTTGGGTTTTTTTCCTTTGTTCCTAATTACATTTCCTAGCTTTTATAATGAATGTACATTGCTGTTGTAATAAGAAATACATTTTAGCTAAAAAAGGGGGGGGGATAGAAGTATAGAAAGTAATTCTGAATATAAAATCAGAAGCACTAATGGAATTGGTATTGAATGAAAACAGGTTAATAGAGAAAATGTCAAATTATCAGCCATACCTGCATCACTGTAGTTTCTGACATTTCATATCATTGTTTTTATGTTTGCCTTAAGTTTCCTTTGCATGATTGTATGTACTTTGTTTCTTTTTCTTTTTATATTAAGTATAATTTATTGTCAAATTGGTTTCCATACAACACCCAGTGTTGATCCCAACAGGTGCCCTCCTCAGTGCCCATTACCCGCTTTCCCCTCTCCCCCAGCCCCCATCAACCCTCAGTTTGTTCTCAGTATTTAAGAGTGTACTTTTTAAAGATGTGTTGGTGACTGAGTGGATTTATTATGAGGTTGTAACTAAAAGATTTCCAATGGGTTTGGAAAAATAATTTTATGAGGAAACGCGAAGCTGTGTGCGTGGAGATGTGCCTGTGTTAGGTTCCTTCTCTACTCATGACGGACGGGCTTTGTGTTTTTTCTCAGTGAGTGAGATCATTGTTAGACAGAGTCGTGTAGAACTAACTGAATCCCTGACCTTATTTCTCTCAGGGAGATAGTGAAGGAAATTCTATTTAAACTGTAAGTAAACAAAATGTGTTCTTTATTCCCAGATTAGAGATGATTTTTGCCAAATTTGATGAAGTGCAAAATTCAGGCGGTATGATTTTGAGTGTCTGCAAAGGTAAGAATAATTAAGTTATCCCAGTTCTCAAACATTTCTAAGATTATTTAGCCAAGTTTTAGAGACTGAAACATGTTTTCAGGTCAACTGTTTTATCACTGATTCAGCAGATATGATTTTGTGGCCTGAAGCTTAGTTAGGAGATAATAACAAAGTCTTTCCATACTGCTGACCATTCGCTGTCCTCTTGACTCTTTTGGAGTAACTGAAAATTTAATTATGGGTCAAAGGGGTAAAATGATACTGTTGTTTTGCCTGAGTTTTTGTATCTTCTGAGTTGAAGAAACGTTGACCCTCTTGCCTTCTGTGTTTCATGAATACAGTGTTTTTTCTTCTCAGAGTAGTTGTTTTATTTAGTTGTTAGTAGAAGTTGTGGGGTTGATGGGTTCTGTCACACCTACCTGTAGACTTGATACTGGTGAAGAGACACAGATGTAGGAACTGCACCAGCATAATCGTCTTTGGTTTCGCAAGTAGAATGAGACCGCGTTGGAATTCAAAGAGGTTTCAGGTTGGGGCGCCTGGGTGGCGCAGTCGGTTAAGCGTCCGACTTCAGCCAGGTCACGATCTCGCGGTCCGTGAGTTCGAGCCCCGCGTCGGGCTCTGGGCTGATGGCTCGGAGCCTGGAGCCTGTTTCCGATTCTGTGTCTCCCTCTCTCTCTGCCCCTCCCCCGTTCATGCTCTGTCTCTCTCTGTCCCAAAAATAAATAAACGTTGAAAAAAAAAAAAAATTTAAATTCAAAGAGGTTTCAGGTTAATATCTGGCACTTACTCGATTTTGTGGTTGCTCTTCTTTTTGTAAGGTTGTGAGATTGTGTTTGCTTTTATTGGGCGGCATTTACTTAGACTTTAGGTTTTAAATAATAATTAGCCACATATGTGAAGAATATCTTCTACTTCCAAAGGTAGTTATAGGTGGTTTTTCCACCTAGGAAAGTAGGTTCCTATAAAAGAGAACGTGGTTAGCTTTAGTAATGTAAGTGATGTTGGGGGAAATATTGGGGGTGTGAGTTGTTATATAGTCAAATAGTGGGAAAACTAGTTGCTAATATAATATAGTTCCTTTTCTGTGGATGAAACCAAGACTAAGCCTTGTGTTGCAGGAAGGCAGATGGAGTGAGAGTTTAGTGCTAAAAAGATTGTCTACCCTAATCTAAACTTAGTTCCAGAAGCATAAATTGACTTCAGCGCTACCAGTCCTGACTGCCAGCTGTTTCTCACTCTTCCCTGAATAGAAGGTGTTTTAAGTACCTTATCCTTCTTTTTCTAGCAGTTACCTCTATTTCTATAGAAACCAGAAACAGCAGGAATTTGGATAGTTGTTAAAATTCCTTGGATTGGGGTGGCTGTGTTTTCATACGATTTCTAGTGCATCCTCACTTGCGTATTCCAGACTCTGTAGTTACAACTCTAAGAAAAAAGTATCTTGCATATTATAAATTTAAGATATTTATTATATGAATACGGCTTATTTCAAAAGCGTGATCTCTTGTGTTTTGTGAGGGTATTTCTGTTACCTTCGAAATTGATTTTGTATTCTCTATTCTGTTAGCTCCCATGTCTTCAGGATGGGTTTGGAGACAGTGTAATGCTGTCATTGAAAAACACTTTCATGGATTTGTCAATAAGGGAAGAGATTAGAAGAGGGAAGCCAAGTCCCAGGTCATGTTGCCAGGTCCCAGGGCCCAGGTCTCCCTTCTACCTTGTCTGTATTCTCTCTCAGTAACGTAATTAAAACCTTTGGGCTGAAATGATAACTTCGCTGTTGACACCTAACTAAATGTGTGGTTCTGTGGCCCTCGTTCGTCTGTCTCACGCTCTAGTTTGGGTAGTCTGTGGCCTCGATGACATTCCCATTGGGGTGCCTAATAGGCATCTCCGAAAGTGGGAAGCCCGTTGTCTTTTCCTTCCCCTCAAACCTGTGGTTCCCCGTTTACCCATTTCAGTCAGTGCTGCCACCATCAGCTCAGGCTAGAAACCTGAATTGACCCCTCGTCTGTCTACCTTTAAAATCCTAATACATCCAAAATGTGTTCGTTTTTTTTCCTGTCTCCACTGCTAAAACCCCACTGTCAGTCTTCAGCTTTTACCTGGATGACTGCAATAGAAACCTCGTCCATGTTTGCACTTCAGAATCTATTTTCTACCCAGAAATGAGAATAATCTTAAAATATAAATTAGGTATCATCACAACAGTGAGGAAGACAAAGTTTCTGCCTCAGGGAGCCTACACTCTAGCAAGGGAGCTAGATTATAAACAAGTGAATGAATGAATATCCTCAGTGATTACAGTTGGTAATGGGAGAAATACAACTACCCTTTGTTTAATGAAATTAAATTATTCCTAAAATCCTTGCCACTAAGTGAAAACCACTAATTGAAGAAATTATTGCCACTAACATTATGGTTTATGTAATCCCAACCTAGGATAATGAGTAATTTTTTTTTAAGTTTATTTATTTTTGAGAGAGAGAGAGAATGTGGAGTAGAGGCAGAGGGAGAGGGAGAGAGAATCCCAGGTGGGCTCCACGCTGACATAGTGCAGAGCCGGACACGGGGCTCAGGCTCATGAACCGTGAGATCATGACCTGAGTTGAAATCAAGAGTCAGATGCTCAACCAGCTGAGCCACCCATGCACTCCGTGAGTAATATTTGAATAATTTTTATAGGTAGAGAAATATATCAATTGAACACTGAAAACAAATTTTTGTAAGTAACAATTTGAGGGCAAAAATTTTGTACCCAAAGTAATAGTTGTTTTTTTTTTTTTTTAATTTTTGCATGATTTTTCCCTACAAAATTTTCAGCCCTTATTGGCTTATTGTAATTGTGCACCCAGCCTAAAACGTTAAAATTATAGAACAGGAAAGCATTTTAGGACAGAGGAAAGGCTCAACACAAAACTTGTGCAGATAGTTCCTGCACATAACAGACTGAAAAGCCGTTGAAGATACTTGATGGACATATATATGCAAAGCAAATTGTTGTGAGTTCACCCAAACATGACATTCAGTTCAGAGTTGTTCCATATGATAGTCTAGAAACTATTACAGTAAGTAAAATTTTTTAGTGTGACTTTGCCTAAAATGATAATAATGAAACCTCACACTTCTTTTTTTAATTTAGAATGTTTTGGGATGAAAAATTCATTTTAGCAAACACAGACAAAAATAAAAACAGTAAAACCCGGAGGATTTGTTATAAAGGTGGTATAATGTTTTAAGAGTCATATAGCTGAAAGTTGTCATCTGAACTGTCATTAGGTGAAGTGAATAGGGTATAGACATGGTGAGTAACTCAGTGATGCCCCTTTAGACATAATTAGTGGGGCAAGCCTCTCTGAGAGTTGACATATTTGAATTATGACCTGATAAATGAGAATGAGCTAGTCATGGGATAAATGGTAGGAAATGTGCTTTGGGTAGAGAAAATATGACCATAGAGGCCCAGAGGTAGAAAAGGACTTTTAGGGCTGGCTGGAGCCCAGTGACGCTAGCTAGGGGTAAGTGGAGGGAAGACCATGTATCAGCAGTAGCTGGAAAAATAAGCAGGAAACATGACACGAGGGCCTTGTTGTAAAAGCTTCGGAGGGGTTTTGATAGACCCCTGGGAGGAGGAAGCGTTTTCGGCTGGAGAGAGACGTGGGGAGTCGGGAGTGATACGATCTAACCCTACCTTACATTTATTTACTGTTTGAAGAAACAGTCTTGTTCATTTTTTCTCTTTAGTCTGCCTCCTCTCCCTTATGCATGTCTCGGTGTACAATTTTACATTTCATGCTTTTGTCTCTGGTTTCTTTCAGAATTGCCGTATCTGTACTCTTTTTCTTTTATGTTAATTTTTGAGAGAGACAGAGAGAGCAGGTGAGGGACAGAGGATCTGAAGCAGGCTCTGTGCTCACAGCAGAGAGCCTGACGGGGGGCTCTAACTCACAAACTGGGAGATCATGACCTGAGCTGAGGTTGGACACTGACTGAGCCACCCAAGCGCCCCTCTGTACTCTTGATTTCAGTTTTGGTTGAATTCTTTGACTTGGTTTTCAAGAGAATTAGTTCAGCACACTCAAATCACAAAGTAAAATTATGTCCTCAGAGATTTGAGCATATCATTTAGTTTAGGAAGGCAAGAAATGCACATTTTTTTTTTGTCTGGAGCGTTCTTCAAGTCTGACTTTAATTCTCATATTACAAAGTAAGTTAGGCAGAATCCCTGAGTACAGTGGAATTCCCTCTGCTGTTATAAGGAAACTGAGTTTACATTAATCAGATCAAGGCTGGAAGGAGGCAACACCAGCCCTGGAGAAAGGAAAAGGGTGAGGGTTGCAGGCTCCCTGTGATTATGGCTGGGCCTGTTGTTGTCATGGAGCTTTCTAGACTGTCTCCTACGCTGAGATGTAAACACCAACAGTGTTGGTGGCTGTGACTGCAAGTCTTTTTCTCTTTCACTGTGAAAAAACTGTGCATAATTCTGATCTGTCTCATGTGTGCAGGACCTAATGAAGTCTTGGGGTGAAATCATTGTAAAATATTTCCCAGCTTCTCTATTTGAAACAGTTGCTAGGAAAAGAATTGCTCTAAGAGGCTGGCGGTAAAACAAAGCATAGAAATCCGGCTTTGGAATTACCTTGATACTTGGCAATAAGGTAACTTTGAAGTCTAGTTTTTTCTGGGCTTGTAACATAGCCTTTAGTGAAAAGCAAAGAAGCCCTTTTCTTAGATTGATTTTAAAACGTGTCTGTTTGTGACCACGAGCCCCGGGGCCTTCCCGGAGCTTGACAATGTGCTGATGGTTGTGCAGCTTGGATGGAGGGCGCTCCGAGTCCCGCAGCTGCGCACTGGCTAGGTTCTGTCTCCACCAGAAGCAAGCTTTGTTCCGTGTGGCTCTGCTGTCCGCACACAGAGCAGCCTTTGATGGGCTGCCTTTGACGTGATTTGTTTACGGCAGCCAGAAATGCTTCCTGCATAATGAGAGCAGTTAATCATGGAAACTGGGCTATTCC